CCATCAGCCTGGGTGCACTGTGGTTATTCCCAAAAGTTGTTCCTCCTATGATGGTAAAGCCCACACATGGTGCACGGATATGGGGCTCATGGGAACCAGGCTCAAGGGAAGGGCCTATTTCTGTTTGGTCACTCCTAGGACAAGCCCTGGGCTACGCAGAATGGACAGGTCAAAGCTGTCCAGCTTTGGGGTGTCTGCACCCACCAGGGGTAGCCTATGACTCGGATCCTTTGGTACGTGGGCACAGAATGGCCAAATCCCCACCCTGGGCTGTTTCCACTCTGTCTTTACAGTGCAGGATGGGTGGTGTGCAGGAGCTGTGGTGAACACTGAAGCCTGTACTAACCGCCTCTGAATGAGATAGTCTTCCAGGATGTCAAGGCAGCGCACCATCTGGGAGAAGATGAGCACCTTGTGCCCACCAGCAATCAGCTTGGGAAGCAGCTTATCAATGAGCACCAGCTTCCCGGCCGCCTGGATCATCGCCTGCAGCTGGAAGTCTGGCGCCTCCGGACTGTGTGTTTTACGAAAGTCTTCCAGGATCTTCTCCTCCGCCCCTGCCAGGTGAGAATGGACATGAGCTCTTGGCGAGGCTGGCAGTGCAGCTGTCCCCAGCCTCCTGTCCAGGGCAACAGCAAGCCACCACGCGAGGAACAGAACCCATGCAGTCGATCAGATCGAGGGAGGTCGGCTAGAGACCTCCAGGAGCCCCTCCATTCCTGTGACTCTACTCCTTCTTCAGGGTTTCCACCAGCTCTTGGCAGAACAAGCCAGGCTGGCATGTTGGAAATGGTCCCGTGCCAGAACACCCCCAAACATAACGTGCCTCCCAAGACCCTGGGATGTGCACCAGCAAGCAGCACTTCCAGGGAGCTGGGCTGCCCATGAGGGCAACAAGGCAGATCACTGCATCCTGTGCTGGGCCTGGAGGCCCAACCACACCAGCAGCAAATGGCAGGAGGGCCTGAGCTGGCTCCCAAGCTGGTTGAGCTCTGGAGGTGGTGACCAGTGATGCAGTGATATCTCACCGTTGATGAGATACGGGTGATTGCAGCACTTTCGCAGCTCCATCATGGTGTTGATGAGGTTGGGCATATTGTGCTGGTTGGCACCCTTGGAGAGGAAGGAGAAGTTCTTCTCCAGGATAGCCCGGTAGTATTTCTTCTGGATATTGGTCAGCTCCACCTCAATGATGGTCTCCTGCTTGGGTGCCAGATTCTTCTCTACATCATCTTTCAACCGTCGCAGCATCATGGGCTTCAGGATGGACTGAAGCTTCTTCACCTGCCAGAGCAAGCACAGAGATTCACTGCCCTCCCTGCACGGCGAGCACATAGTGACAACAGTGAGGGACCTGCGATGCTAGAGCCTCCCCAGGCTGGAAACCCACTAGAAATGACAGTGAAGCAGCTGCTCTGCTGACAGCCAGGACAGCTTCAGGGTCTGGCTTCCTTGGGGAGGTATGTGAGTGACCAGCCCTTGGCCATGAACTCCACATGCTCCTGCTGCCAGCAGCCTTGGGTCAGTGTGTCTGCTGCAGGAGGAGAGCTGAGTGCCCTGACAGCAGCTGAGATGATGGGTGCTCCGTGTGCCTGTGCCTGCTCCCTCGGAATGGTGATCTCTGTGCAATCTCCACTTAAGCCAGACATTCAAGTGGCAGCGAGACAGCCCAGGGGACTGAGCTGCTTTCTGTGACACATGCTCAAGGGGCACTTCGGAGGACGCCTCCCTGGGGGAACCTGCCAACAGCGACTGACACATGGACTTACTGATGTCCCTGCTCCCCCACACTCCTGTTGGTCTCAGGGCCTGATGGGGCGGGAAAGCCAGCGGAGCTGTGCAGCCCAGGCATGCAGGGGCAGCAGGGAGCTTGGTAGGGAGCAGACCACTGCCTTGGCCCAGGCTGGTCTCTCTCCAATGCAGTGCTGGGGACTCTGGGACAACTTTGCCTCTCCTGGCATGAGGAGTCCTATGAGCGTGTGCCTGGCTTGGTGACCATGTGTCTCAGTGGCCTGTGCTAACAGCCACCAGCATCACTCTTCTAGGTACCTGCTCCTCTGTCTTCAGGTCTCCAAACTCCTCCAGGAAGGCTGTCTCTGAGGGGAACTGCTGTGGCTCCAGGAAATTCAGGAGGCTGAAGAGTTCCTCCACCGAGTTCTGCAGGGGGGTCCCTGTCAGCAGCACCTTGTGCTCCTGGGTACACACAGAAAACAGGTTGAGGGCTCAGATCCACTGGCTGGGTCCAAGGGGTCCCAAGAGCACAATGCTCCTTGTCTTCCAGCCTCAGGAGCACTCTGGGTGGCCTAGGGGCACACACACTCCCTGAAATGTTTCCCTGGCCATGGTCCCAGCCCTGACCCAGCCACTGCCACACATCACTGTCTTGTGGCTCCCAGGACGCTCCCCTGGATGTGTCCCACTCCAGCTCTGAGCAGCAACAACAGCCAAAACAGAATTCCACACTTCCCCCAGGCCTCAGCCCTGCCCTTGCACAGGACAGAGCTGTGCTGGCACTGGACAGGGACACTGACAGAGCCCAAGCCTCTGTGCACCCAGAGACAGGACAGGAACACTGACAGAACCCAAGCCTCTGTGCACCCAGAGGCAAGATGTCCCTCTTCATGGCTTGGGTAGAACAAGAGGGAACATGGCCCAGAACCATGTGATACCGAGGGGCATCAGGGACCTGCTGAGCAGTGTGAGCAGGGTGCTCCAAAATCTGCAGGGGCATGTAGGACGGTGCCAGGTGTGCACTGGGAACAAGGAGGAGCTTTTGTTAGAGATTCACCAAGTAGGTACATGTGCAACAATAGGAGAGAGGGGTCCAGACAACCCAAGACCTGGAGGTGCAAGGACTGATGACCCCTCAAGGAGAACACACTCCCTTCCACGTGCTGACACCACGGGCTGTGGATTCAGGCACCATGGGGTGCTGCCTCCCGAGGCACAACAGCCGCTCTGTCTCAGCAGTGCCAGAGACCTGGGCACTCGCTCACTGCTCAGGCTAATCCTCCTGCCCAACCTAACGCAGGGAACGTCCTCCAGAGTCACCAGCTATGAAAGAAGGGCAGTTGTAAGGCAGGAGGCTCCCGCAGGACTTGTACAAAGGAAGATGATGGTTACAAAGTGGGGCCAGCAGTAATCCTGCTTTGCCCCAGGCTGCTCACAACCCAGCAGGGACTTGCACAAGACACAAGGTCACGGGGGAACAGCAGGGTCTTTGGGAACTGGAGATATAAGACTAACAATTTTCAGAGGCCCGGCCCAGCTACAGGTTGAGTGTGACAGAAGCTGGGTAGGGCTGGGAGATCTAATAGGCCTGATGGCCCTTGGTCCAGCAAGGTCCTTTCCTTGGTCCTTTCCAGGGCTGGAAAGGAGCTGGACATCCAAATTCATTTCTCAGAGCAGCTCATTGATCCCCTTTTCACCAAGCAGAGTCCCGCACCCCCCTCCCTGGCACAGACTGGTCCCGTGTTTGCAGAGCAGTAAGAAACCAGCTTGAACATGGCAGCCCTGCTCACTGCAGGGTACCAGGCACAGCACGGCCAGAGGATGCTGTGCAGGGGTGCTCAGCACCTGCCTGCGTGTGCTGCAGCAGCCCCAGCCATGCTGCAAGGCCAGGCAGAGCTCTCCAGGGAGTGCAGACAGGTGGGAAGGTGTGGGGGGACATGCCCTGCTGTGGGGTCACATTCCACTTCAGCAAAAAGGAGTCTGTGATGGCTGCAGGGCACCAGTGCCCCATCCATCCACGGGCCCCCATCACTGCCACTGCTTCAGTGACCTGATGGCTCCTAGATGGTTTTCCCTCTGACAGGCAGCTCTCAGCCCTGGCACTGGGCCTGAGCAGCTGGCAGCGGCACCTGACTGCTAGGCTTGGCCACTGCTGGCCCACTCTGCTCTCATGTGAACCCGGGCAGGACATGCTCACCAGGGCCATGAGTTTCAGCCCCTCCAGGAGTTTGCAGTTCCTGTTCTTCAGGCGATGTGCCTCGTCAATGACCACGCAGCGCCACTGGATCTTCTTCAGCTCTGGGCAGTCGGCAAGGATCATCTCAAAGGTGGTGATAACCACCTGGAACTTGAATATCCCAGGGAGAGGGTTACCCTACAGAGACACAAATCATATGCACCTCTTGACTCCTGCAGTTTGGCAGGACACTGTCAACATATCAGTGTTAGCATCTGGCTCCTAGCTGGGATTTCCCCAGATTCATCTCTCTCAAAGCAGCGGGCAGGTTCCTGCAAGACTCCTCACTGGCTGCAGGCTGCGTCTCTCCAAACCAGACACTGCTTCAGGGCAGACAAACGGGCCTGGACAAGATCTGCAAGTGGGGCTCTGCTGCAATTTCCCCTTTCTGCATGAGTTGGGATGGTTCTTCACTCATACACAGTGTACCCTGAGCCCATGCCAGCAAAGGGGTCTTAGAAGATCACCCTTCCCTCTCCAGATGAACCACAAACTCCACGTGCAGCTCCATGCTTCCCAACTAAAGGAAGCCAGGGCTGGCAGATGCATCCTGAGGGTGTTGTGTGCATCAGTCACCTGTGTGTCCCTGTACACCATCTCGTACTGCTGGATCATCTGCCGGCTGATCTGGCTGCCGTGGTACACGATGGCATTCATCTCCGTCCAGGTGCGGAACTCCCTCTCCCAGTTGGTGATGGTGGAGAGAGGTGCGATGATGAGGAAGGGGCCATGGATGCCCATCATGAATATTTCTGACAGGAAGGTGATTGACTGGATTGTCTTCCCCAGCCCCATCTCATCAGCCAGGATGCAGTTCTTCCTGCAGAGATGGACAGGGGCAGGTGAACGTGGCTGTCAGGGCAGGAACCACCCTGTCACCAACTCCTCAATGGGATGTCAGGCACATCACCTCCACCCACACCTCTCTAACCCCACAGCGTGGAGGGTGGGGGGACATGGGTACAGTGGCCCAAACCAGTCTGGGTTAGCCAGACCATCCAACTTCTTGCAAGATGATGTTCCTGCTCCAGCAGGGGGATTGGACTGGATGATCTTTCGAGGTCCCTTCCAATCCCTGACATTCTGTGATTCTGTGTGACTCAAAGTTAGTGTGAGAGATGCTGTCCTTTGGGTCCACAATAGCCAGTGAAAGATGCATCTGATGGCCTGCTGCAGCTGAGAACATGCACATTCCTGCACTCCTGCCACAAGAATGGGTCACCAGTAGCCTGGCCAATACCAAAAGCCAGGTGTATCTTAGACCCATAGGTAAGCCTTACTATCTCCAAGACTCATCAGCATTTACCAGGGACAAACATTCATAAGGACTCAGATGCAGAGCTAAAACAAACAGTTTTTCTGGCAGCTGCCTGCCAGCTCCAGCACTGGAAGGTCTCAGCAGCTGCTCTGTTTGTCAGCTCTGCTGCTCCCGTGACTGCACACACTGGGGCCCCTCTGCCAGCAGGACTCCTCCTGGGAGCGCAGGGCTCCAGCCCTTCCTCACCTGTTATACCAG